CGCCCCCGGCCGCGGCCGCTGGGACTGGGGGGCGCGCGGGCGCTGGGAGCTCCCGGCCTCGGCGGGGGCGGGCTGTGGCTCCGCGGCCAAGGCCGGAGTCTGGCTTTTGGTTGGAGGATCCTGGGCTGGACGCTGAGAAGGAGAGGGCGGGGAGGGAAGGGTCTTCGCGGGGTGACTTAGGGGCCTGTTGGCTGGAGGGGTCCCGACCGGAGGGGCTGCGGCGCCGTGGGAAGAACCTGCCTCCGGGCCGAGCGTCCGGTTCCGCGGGAGCCCTCAGGCCCGGATGGCGCCGGGAAGACAGCGTGGAGGCTCCGTAGGGAGAGGACTGCCCCGCGCCGGAGCCCTGTGGGGCCACCTGTGCTCCCCACACTCCCGTTGCTCGGAGGATGCGGGCCCTTGCCCAGCCCCACCCCTGCCTGCGGCGTTTGGCCGTGCACGAGGCGGGGACACTGCATATTTGCTGATATTCCGCTGTGACTGCATCTTGCCTGTACTGGGGGCGTGGGGGTCTTGCTCTGGTGTTGGTTTGACGGGAGCACCGAGAGACAGGGTCATTTTTATGTGTCGTGGGTGGGTCTTTGCCCAGGAGTGTGTGGCAGGCATCCGACCAGATGCTCAAGAACAAGCAGACGGAGTGTCTTGTAGTTCTTCATAGCACGGATCACAACTGTAATGAAATATGTAATTTGTCAAAGTCAGTCTCCTTGGCTGGAACATAAGCGTCATAAGGGTGGGTACTGTGTCTGTTTTGTTCGGGGTGTCTGGCACATTGTAGGGTGCTCAGTAAATACTTGTTGACGAATGAATGAATACCTGTGTGTGCCGAGCTATGTACTGGTCCTCTGGGAAAAACACACGAGTGAAAGACTTCCAGCTCTTGTGTTGGGAGAGGGGGATGACATCTATATTGCAGTTAAAACCAGTATGTATTGGTTAATTTTAAAAAGGTGATATCAGTACCAGACAGAACTTGTTGAATGTCAGGCTGCAGACTGGTGGAAGGGAGAGCGTGGTGTGGCCTGAGGTAGCCTGGCTGTCTGAGCATCCTTGGGGTGGCACTTCAGCTGGGGGTGGAGTTGGGGATTGAATGTGTGCCTGGGGTGGGTGCTGGCTCTGGCTTTTTCCCCAGGGGACTGGGGTCTGTGTGTCAGATATGGCCTTGCCCCTGTGAAACAAAGGTGTGGTTGAACCTAACCCCAGTGCTGAGTTTGGAGGCCTGCTGGTGTGTTCTTCCTGCTGCATAATCTGCCTTTGCTAGGGCTGCCATAACAAAATACCACAGACTGAGAGGCGTAAACAATGGAAATTTATGTTCTCACAGTTCTGGAGGCCAGAAGTCCAAGATCTAGGTGTTAGCAGGTTTAATTTCTTCTGAGGCATCTTTCTTTGGCTCACAGATAGCTGCCTTCTCTCTGTGTCCTCATGTGGCTTCTTCTCTGTGCGAGAGCATCTGGTGTCTCTTCTTAAAATGGTACCAGTCATACGGGATTAGGGACCCACCTGTATGGTCTCAGTTACCCATAATTACCTTTTTAAAGGCCCCATGTCCAAATATAGTCACATTCTGAGGTCCTGGAGGTTAGAGCTTCAACAAATTAATTTTAGGGGAACACGATTCAGTCCATAACAAGGGGATTTACCTCCTTGAAGGTGTGTGTGGGGGGGTGTCTGGAATGTTTGTAAGGAAGAGAGGCAAATAGAACTGTAATATGTTGTATTAAATTTTCCTTCATTTTGCTTTATCCTGGATTTAGGGCCTCTTGCTGCATTACAAAAATTGAGTGCCGTAATTTGAATCCCAGAGTGCCTGTGTCTCCCTCCCTTACTTTCTGTTCGGCAGCCTGCAGTCCTGGTAACGGGGCAGCCACAGAGGTCTCAGGGCTGGTGGAGAAATCCTGTGCACATACACTCCACTTCACACTGCAAGACTTGCATTGATCTTTCCTAGGTAGGGACTCGCAGGACCTTACAGTCATTCACTATAAAATATATGCACACCTTCTCTGGGCCAACAGAGTTTCAGATGCAGGGGGCATAGCAGTGAGCAAAATGAAGTTCCTCCCCTCATGGAGTGTAGGGGGTGGACAGTAAACAAGTAAACAAATATATAGTGTAATGTCAGGGAGTGCCATGAAGAAAAATAGGGCAGAAAAAGGGGATAAAGTGATGGGGGTATTATTTTAGGTAGGGTTATACAGTTAGCCTCCTGCCAGGTAAGCCTCGGCTGTTTCACTATATATCCTGTTTTTTCTTTTTTCTTAGAGTAGGGTACAATGAAAGGAACAGGGCATCCAGCTTGTTGCCTGCCTAGCTGTGTGACTGTGGAAAGTTACTTCATCTCTCTGAGCCTTGGTTTCTTCACCTGTAAAGTGAGAGTGATAATGCCCATCTCCCTGGTTGTTGTGAGGATTAAAGGTGAATGCCCAGCCCATGGAGAAGCACTCAGTAATTGGTAGCTAATATGGCTTCTGAGGGCCTCTGGGGCCTGTGCCCCTGCCCTGGTTTGCTCTTCTCTGGGAGTCCTTGCAGCCCAGAAAGGCTGTAGAATAGACCACAAGGGCTAGGAGTTTGCATGTATATATTTTTTGTAGTTGTTTTAAATCACTTTTTCTCATTCAGGTGTCTTCAAAAATGAACACATTTTAAAGGTTTTACTACTCACCTCTAGGAAGAACCAGCCAGGAGTAGATACTTAGAGAAATTATAAGGATTCCTGAAATCTTAATAAGATTCTCCCTGCAGGTCTACAACTCTTTATCTCCAATTTTGAAAACAAAAAGCTCTGAAAACCCCACACTGACCTGACATAAGGGTCTTTATAGTCTTTGCCCACTTACTGTGAGTATTTGTAGCTTTTACTGCAGAATAATACTGTTTTGCTTATGAGTGCTACTCCCGGACCTTGCAGTAGTGTATATGATTTATGTACGGTATTGCTGTTCTTGAGTCTATAGAATTCTGAATCTGAAATACATCTGGCTGCGAGGGTTTTGGATTAGGGATTCTGGACCTTTATTATATAATAACAATGATAGACATATTGCCCACCAAGGGGAAATCTGTTCCCTTATAGGAATCTCATTGTGTGAATCTTAGAGTCACAAAACATTGTACTTGGAAAGGCGCTTAGAGATCCTTGCCAACCTCTTTGTACAAATGGAATAACAATGATGTGCCTTGCTTGATGGCACTAAATCCTTAGCTACCTTTGGTTAGAGAAAGTCATTGCAGTTTTTCCAGTCAGCATGTGGGAAGAAGGGACAAGATCTGGTCCCAGGGCATTTCCCACTCACTTTGTTCATATTTGCCCTCCTTATTTCTTTCCTTAGTCTCCCTAGATAATTAGCTTTTATCAGAAGGCACTCCCATGCTGTCCCTCAAAGGGAATGCATGGGGGCTGGGCATTGGAAGGGAAGGCGAGGAGTATCATTGGATTAGTTGTGGATGCTAAGGGCTCCTCTCACATGGAAATGGTGGTGGTGTGGGGATGGGACCCACCTGCTAAGTGTGGGTTGCTTATGACAACCTCTTGAGAATAAGCCTGTGAAATCCCCTCTGTTATAGGCTCTGAGAGGTGTCAAGGTGAGCAAGATAGGGACAGGTAAGTACACATTGACAGTTGGGGTTCCCATACTTTTTTACCCTTGGCTTGTTTTACCCCTAGGGTGCGAACAGCTATGGGCAACTTGGCCTTGGCCATAAGGAAGATGTGCTTCTGCCCCAGCAGCTGAATGACTTCTGTAAACCGAGGTGTGTCAGGAGGATCACAGGAGGAGGGGGCCACTCTGCTGTAGTCACAGGTAACTTCCTTCTCGAGTAGAGAGCCCTGAATTTTCTTATTTAGATATTTTCCCCTAGGGAGTTATATTGTCATCTTTTAGCCTTTTGTATTTTGTAGAGGAAAACATTTTTGTGGAGGAGCCAAGTTACCATCAGAGAATCCTAGATTGTCAGAGCTGAAAGGACTTCATATAAATGAGATTCAGAGAGGATAACTGACTGCTTAAGGTTACAAGACAAATTAGTGGCAATGTTGCAACGTCTATCACATTTTATACCATGTATTGCTATTTAACTTTCACATATGAGTTAGAAGTCTTTGCAATTAGATTGAATATTTCTTGAGAGCAAGAGCTTTGTATTTTCCTTAATCTTCCCTCACAGTACCTAGGATAGTACTCAACACGTACTACAAGTGCTGTAAAATTGTAAAAGAGAGCATATTGCATCCTAGTGAAGAATAAGAGCTCTGGAATTAAACTGCCTGGGTTCAAATCCTGGTTTTGTTATTGATTTGCTGTGTGGCCTTGGGAAAATTACTTAATTTCTCTGTGCCACAGTTTCCTCTCTGTTTCATGGGGCTAGTGATGGTGGATGAGCAGAATCAGTGAGTTATCAGGGCTGCGTTATGACTTTCTTGGGTCCTTGGCGCTTTTGCCTTTGTGATCCCCTTCCTCCATAAAGAAATATTTAAAATTATATTTTACAACTGCATTGATATAAAGGTTAATGTAATCCAGGCTAGATTTAGTATTATATATTCATTCTTGTTACATTTATTTTTTCTTATTTTAAAAGAATTTAAAATAAAACACTTCTGTGGGCCTCTGAAAGTATTGTGGGCCCTGGGCACTGAGCCTAAAGGATAGTCAGCCCCAGACAGAAAGCTCTTAGAACAGTACTTGGCACATTCTACTGATAAATGGTGGCTTTTATTGTTCCAGTAGATGCTCAATTTGGTGATTGATTGGCCACTGCTGTAGGACTTGGAGTTTCCATTTAGATATTAGATTTGAACCCCTTGGCCTTGTGCCTCTGGTCCAGAGCACGTTAATATGCATGGCTGAATAACGTGAGTGAGGAGAAAGTTATTGGGTCTGTGACTCCAAATAATTAGTGAAATCCTTTTGCTCCATTTGGCAGTTGTAATTTCTCCTGTGCTCATCATCACTGAAGCCTTTATATTTTGCAGATGGAGGAAGCCTTTTTGTTTGTGGCCTGAACAAAGATGGGCAGCTGGGGCTTGGTCACACAGAGGATGTCCTGTATTTTACCCCCTGCAAATCCCTCCTTGGCTGTCCCATCCAACAGGTGGCCTGTGGCTGGGATTTCACTATTATACTCACAGGTGAGGTCACTCCTAGGTAAGTCTTGATCACCGCAAAGGCTCTGGGTGAGAAAAGCGTGATGGTGGGGACGCTGATTGAATGAAAGTCTCGCTGTGTTTAAAAACACATGCAAATGTTCTCTCTGGTTGTCAAGGAAAGTTGCGGGGTGCATTTTGCAAGGAAAGCTTTAACAGTAAAACTTTGGGTTGGAAAACTTTTACCAGAGACTGGGGAATGATCTAAATCACCTTTGGTGGCCACTTTCTGTCCCAGAAGTTCATGATAGCTGTGTGCCTGGGCTAGCCGGCTGGTAGTGCCAGCTAAGGGTTACTCACGGGGGAACGTGGTGGGGAAGTGTGAGGAAATCGAAGGCTGCCAAAACAGTAATGGCAGCTTTTGCCCGAAGAGGGATTTAAAAAAAAAATATGGCTGCGTACAACTGTTCGGTCTCTGCAAAGCCAGGTAGCAGAATAGGATGTAGACGGATATGGGCAAGGGTTGATAGAATCATGCTCTTGGGAGCAGCTGGCGATAGTTACTGTGTCAGCTGACTTCGCCCTGGAAGCACTTTTGACCTCTCTGTTCAGCTGCACCCTGTCTGAAAGGACCATCTAGAGTTCTGACTGGGCTCCCTCTTTGTCACAGTCGTCTGGCAAGGGCATCTTCTGACCATGTCACCCCCGCCTCAGACCCTTGTGGGTTCTCACAGGCATAGCTCAAACCCCAAGTATTTTAGCTCATGGCCTCCAAGTACTCTTCCCACCAGTCACTGTCGTTGCCTTGTCGTTTGTTCTCCACACTCCTCGTACTTTCTGTCTAGTGATACCAGACAGTCCATGCTGTTCTCTGTCTGGAACAGCCCCTCAACTCTTGTCCCTTCTTTAAAACCCTGCTCAGGTGTCCCCATCTCTCTTCTGCTGAGGGGTTCCATCAGGTGCATTGAATTTGGTAGTGATTATTAGAATGTGAATACTAGCTCTCATTTCTAAAGGGCTTTGTGTGGGCCTGTGTTGAAGTTGTAGGGAGTCTGCAGATAATGTTGTTTCCTGCTCACTTTTGGAACCAGTTGTGAGAATGGTGCAGAGCAGTCACACAGTTGATCACACTGCTGGGTTTTTACTGATAGAGGTTAAGCTGGAGGACGGGGTTAAGTGTCAGGCCAACTGGTTATGGTAACACTCCTCTGATCCAAGCCTGTCCTCCAAACTCTAGGCCTCCCTAAAGGGGAAGCCCTTACTATGTGTCAGCCCAGACTGCCTGAAAGGAAAGTGCCAAGCTACACATGTCCTGTTCCTGCTCCCAGACTCAGCACTGGGCTAGGTTGCCCCCTTTCCTGGGAAGCAGTGAGTATGGGGAAGGGCAGGGAGAAAGGCCTGGAAATTCCATCACATGGAGACATGAAAAGTGGAAGATAAGTATCCTCTGCTTCCGGCATTAGGCCCTGGGCTGTGTTCTGCACAGCTCCTCTGTCATTAATTAGGTAGAGTAATGGAGAGTCTGTGTGAAGCACTTAGCCCCCGTGCCCAATGTTTTTACTCCCAGGGGAATAAAAGCAGGGACTGTGGTTTGAATGTGCTGAAGCCCAGGGCCCTGCTTGCTCCTCTTCACTCCCTGTGCTCTTCTCCTCCTTCAGCATTTGCCCGTTGGTCACAGATATCTTACTTCTGACATCTGCGATTTAAGTATTTGTATTTTGCAGAAAGTGGTCAAGTTCTGTCGTGTGGATCTAACTCCTTTGGCCAATTAGGAGTTCCTCATGGGCCTCGAAGATGTGTAGTTCCCCAGGCCATTGAGGTAAGGACAGCACCTAATCTTGACTTGCCCGTGTCCGGTTAAAACGTTTCCAGGGTATTACAGTTATCCCTTACCAGACTAAAGGCTGGCCGGGTCCCTGCAGACCCATGGGGTAGTTAGAATTTAAGTTGAAAAACTCAGGTTCTTCTGGGAAAAATTAGGTTGAGGGGATGGATGTTGTGAGTGAAAAACCTCTGTCAGTTCTCATAATTTTTTGTGAAATAAAACAATAAAGGTAATGTATGTTATAAAGACATTAAGGGCATTTTACAATTCTAAAGTTAGTAATAGTGGGAACTATGTTAGAAACATGTCCAGATAGCAGTGACTTGCCTAAAGAAACTAAGCTAGGTAAATGATGTAGGCCAGTTCTGTCCAGTAGAAATATAATGTGAGCCACATATGTAATTTAAAATTTTCTAGTAGCACCATTTAAAAAAGTAAAAAGAAACAGGTGAAATTATTTTAAAACAATAGCTTTATTAAGATCTAATTCATGTAGCATAAAATTTACCCTTTAAAAACCTATAATTCAGTAGTTTTTAGTATATTCCTAGAGATGTGCAGCCATCACCATTATCTAATTTTAGAACATTTTCATCACCACATACCCAATAGCAATCACTTCCCATTCTCTCCTCCCCCCAGCCCCTGGTAACTGCTACTCTGTCTCTATGGATTTGCCTATTCTGGACATTTTATATAAATAGAATTATACAGTGTGTGGCCTTTTGTGTCTGGCTTCTTTCACTACACATGGTGTTTTTAAGTTTCATCCGTATTGTGGCATGTAGATGAAATTAATTTTAATAATTTTTAAACTAATCCAGTGTATCTAAACTATTATCATTTCATTTTGTATGTCTTCAATATAAATCTTTATTAATGAGGTATTTTATATTCTTTATTTTATACTGTACTTTGATTCTATACTTTAAATTCTGGTGTACATTTTTTACTTGCAGTATGTCTCAATTCAGTCTAGTCAGGTTTCCAGTGTTCTATAGCCACATGTAGTTAGAGGTTACCATATTGGACAGCCCGAGTTCAGAGCTCTTTCACTGATACTTTCACTCATACTTAAAATGTGCATATTTTTGTGAAGACTATATTGTAAGTGAATTTTTAAACAAGTTATGCTAGAATCTAAAATGAATTCTACCACCTAAGCTGCTCCATTCATATCTAATTTCCTTACACTCTGACTAAGGGTGGGAGATCTGTTTTCATTGGAAAGAGCTTGGGTCTGTTCCTGTCATCTTGCTGAATTCCGATTGTTGATCTGTGGGTTATTATTTGGGATCATGATTTCCATGGGGTTTTAGTCCCTTTGGGCTACTCTAATGAAAATACCGAAGACTGGGTGGCCTAAACCACAAATATTTATTTCTCACAGTTCTAGAGGCTGGGAAGTCCAAGATCAAGGCACCGGCAGATTTGGTGAGGGCCAACTTCCTGGTTCATAGAGTGTTGTCTTTTCGCTGTGTCCTTACATGTCAGAAGGGGCAAAGGCACTCTCTGGGGTCTCTTTTTTATATAAGGGCATCAATCCCTTTCATAAGGGCTCTGCCCTCATGGTTTAATCACCTCCCAAAGGTGCCACCTCCAAATACCATCACATTGGGGATTAGGTCTCAACATGTGAATTTCACAAGAACACAAACATTCAGCCTATAGCATATGGTATGCACAGAAGTCTAGACTCTGTAGTCCCTGTTGTAGGAAGTGTTACAGCTTCCAATTGCAAATAGATGGCTTTTTAAGAACCTACATATGAGTTATAATTAATTTAGCTTAAGTCACATGATTAAAGAAGACAGAGAGGAACAATGGTTAAAATATGTTGAACGATAGAATCAGAAGGTAAAAATGTTTTGACAGGCTGTATCCTATAGAGCAGTGGGAGGAATGTGCCAAAGTGAAATATAATACAAATTCATTCATTTATTTAAAAGCAACTATTGTGTATAGGCACTGCGATTAGGAAGATCCAATCACAGCATTTGAGGGCCTTATAGTTTAGTAATACGTGTTAGATATAGAAACACCTAAATGCATCACCATGTTAGAACTATGGTAGATGCATGTATCGCCCCAAAGGGGGAGTATTGAACTCTTAGGGGAAGGGGGGATGAGAACAGGCTTGTACTGAGTCTTGAGAGTTGAGTAGAAGTTTACCTGGCTTGAGATAGGAGGTTGCACAGAGTAGGTACAAAAGAAGCACAGGCCAGACAGAAGGAACCATGTAAGCAAAGGTATAGAAGCATAAAACAGGAGGGTTTGGGATACTGCAGGCAGTTTAGTATGATTGGAATATAAGGCAGTGGTAGAAGTGCCAGTGGGGAGGGGCATCGGGGAGGGAGTGTATGACAAACGGTAAGCCAGTGTGTTAGGGAGGGAGGGGTGGCGTGGTGCGGAGGATGGAGAGAAGAAAGGTGGCTCAGGGATCTCTTGCTAATAATCCAGAGAAGAGATGATCTTGGCCCAAACTAAAGCAGCAGCAGTGGGGATGGAGAGGAAGGGATGGAGGTAGGTGGTGTTGAAAAGATTGAATCCCCATGTAAAGCCCTTCAGTTACTTTTGAAAAAAAAAAAAAGAAAATTAAAGGAAAAATTTTGAAGGACAATATGTTCAGATTGTATTAGCAGTACGGTTTGATCTTCCCAAAAGCTAATATGCTCGTGGGCTGCGTTAACAGAAGTATGGTCTCCAGAGGAGGGAGACCAGAGCCCTGTCCTTTGTGCTGGTCAGACTGCATCTGGGATGTGTTGTGGTGTGGGTTTGGTTCTTAGGCCCTAGGCGTTAAGGTGAATAAGACTCAGACCCTGCCCCTGAGGGCTCTGAAGTTGGGAAAGACACTGTGGACCTGTAAATAAACGAATGTGGTAAAGCTCCATGGGGGCTGTGATTGATGTATATACAGTCCCTTTAAAAGAGGGAGTTTGGGTCACGAGAGTGTATTTAGAGGAGAGAAACCAAGAAGGGGAGGGAATTTAAAAACAGGTGATGGCTGATGGAATTGGGGTGTTTGGCCCAAAGAAGAGATATGTGTTATCTATTGCTCTGTAATAAATGACCCCAAAATTTAGCAGGTTAAAACAACAAATTTATTATCTCATAGTTTCTGAGAGTCAGGAATCTGGGAACAGTGTAGCTGGTCTCATGAGGTTGTAGTCAAGGTGTCAGCCAGGGCTGCACAAGGTCTGCTGGAGGCTCGGCTGGGCTGGCGGAGCTCTCACACCTGGCAGGAGGCTTCAGTTCCTTGCCAGGTGGGCCTCTCTATAAGACTGTTCAGACGTGGCATCTGGCATCCCCCAAGAGTGATGAGAGAGAGAGGCCAAGCAGGAACCCTCAGTGCCTTTTATTACCTCGTCTCTGAACCGCTCATCACTTCCTTATCCTTTTCACTAGAAGCAAGTCACTAAGTCCAGCCGACACTCAAGGGGAGGGGAATAATCTATACATCTTAAAGGGGGGAATCTCAGAATTTGAGAACCTATTTTTAAAACCACCACAAGATGTCTCAGAGAGGACATGACAGCTGTCTTGAAATATTTGGAAAGCACTGTCAGAAGCTATAGGCAGATAGGTTTGGCTCACCTAAGGAGATAAATGGAACTGTGCAAAGATGAACAGGCACCTGGGGAGGTGGTGAGCCCATGTCACTGGAAGTAGGTAGCACAACCACTTGGTGGGGTATTGTGGAGGGGTTTCTATCATTGGATGGGGATTGGACTAGATCAGAGGTCAGCAAACTAGAACCCTTGGTAAATAAAGTTTTATTGGCATACAGCCACACCCATTCATTTCCATGTTTATTGTGTATGGCTGCTTTTATCTTACAATGGCAGAGCAGAGTAGTGTGACAGAAACCGTATGGCCTGCAAAGTCTAAAATATTTACTATCTGGCCCTTTACAGAAAACATTTGCCAGCTTTGGACTGGATGACCTTAAAGGTCCCTCCCAGCCCTGAGAGGCATTGTGATAGGGTATTTTAACAAGATTTTTGGCTTTTAGGGGTACATATAGAGGTATTTATGGATGGAAATGTTTGGGATTGGGAACCCCAAAACCAATCAGGCACATAATGAGGGACATGCTGCCTTGGATTTGGGCATAAGTATTCTGAGACCTCCATCCCTTTCTTTGTTTTGACAGCTCCTGAGAGAGAAGGTTGTTAGTATTGCTGCTGGACTGAGGCACGCTTTAGCTGCTACAGGTGATCATTTTGCTTCTGTTTTCTAAATAGGCACATAATAAGGAGAAATGGAGCTTTATGAAAAAAGTTTAGTTCTTTTTTTTTTAATTTTATTGAGATCACGTTGATTTATAACATTGTGTAAATTTCAGGTATACGTCATATTTCGGTTTCTGTATAAACTACATTGTGTTCACCACCGGTAGTCTAGTTTCCATCCATTACCATACATATGTGCCCCTTTACCCCTTTTGCCCTCCTCCCAACCGCCTCCCCTCTGGTAACCACTAATCTGTTCTCTTTATCTATCTGTTTGTTTATCTTCCACATGTGAGTGAAATCATACGGTATTTGTCTTTCTCTGTCTGACTTATTTCACTTAGCATAATATCCTCAAAGTCCATCCATGTTGTTGCAAATGGCACAATTTTGTGCCTTTTTTTAATGGCTGAGTAGTATTCCATTGTATATATATACCACATCTTCTTTATCCATTCATCCATTGATGGACACTTGGGTTGCTTCCATGTCTTGGCGGCTGTGAATAATACTGCGATGAAGACAGGAGTGCATATATCTTTTTGAAATCGTGTTTTCATGGAGAAGTGGAGCTTTAGAAGAAGTAAACTTGAAGGAGTAATTTGGAGTGTCCCGCTGTGCTGCAGTTCTGCTTAAAAGGAGAATGTAAGGCAGATGTCATGTGGGAAAGCCTTTAGCAGGTGAGAGGAAGGAAAGAAGGTTTCTAGCTCTTTATTATGTTCTAGGCGTGGTGCTCAGTTTTCTTGATTTAGTTAATATCTTATTTAATCCTCACAACTGCGCAGTGATGTGAGTTAAATTTTTACATGTGAAGAAACTGAGGTCCAGAGAGGCTAATGCGCTTGTCCGAGGCTACACAGGGACTAAGGTAGTAAAAGGTAGGGATCAGAGTCTAGGACGGTCTGGATTCCAAGGACAACGTTCTTTGCTGTGGACTGCTCTGCTTTCCTAGGGGATTTTAACGTTTGTTAATTTAAAAGCTTCAAGCGTGCTTGTCTCCTGAACCGTGAGAGGGTGATGGCTGTGGGGCTGACGCTATGTGTGAGGTGGAGGGTGGAAAGTGGGGAGGCGGTGGCATGTGGAAGAGTGGTGACCTTTCTTTCTCTTCCTTGCTCATTTTTCTGCTCCCCATCGTGTGGGCTGAAGGACAGCCCTGACGGCTGTGGCAGCCGATGCTCCAGTGCTTGGTGAGTCCAGCTGTGGAGTGGGGAGAGGAGAGGAGGCGAGGAAGAGGCTGGCGCAGTGCTGTGCTAATGGTTGCCTGGGGCTTAGTGTTAATTATACTTTAAGAAAAAATTTTAACTTTTTATTTTGAGATGATTGTAGATTCACATGCAGTTGTAAGAAATAAAATAGATCTCATGCACTCTTTTCCCAGCTTCTCCTAATGGTAACACCTTGGGAGACTATAGGGCAGCAGCACAACCGGGATGTCTGGATACAGTCAAGGTACAGAGCAGTTCCATCACACAAGGATCCCTCTTGTTGCTCTTTTATAGCCACGCCCTCTTCCTGCCTACCCCTGCCCCCTTCTTAGCTCCTGGCAACCACTGTTCTGTTCTCCAACAATAATGTGGTCATTTCAACAATGTTATATAAGTGGTGTCATACAGTATATAACCTTTTGGGCTTGGCTATTTTGCTCAGCATGATTCCCTGGTGATTCCTACAAGTTGTATCAATAATTTGTTCCTTTTTATTGCTGAGTAGTATTCCATGGTGTAGACACCACCATATTACTTTGCTAGGGCTGCCGTAACAAAATACCACAGATTGGGTGGCTTAAACAACAGGAATTTATTTTCTCACAGTTAAGTGTGAGACTAGATGTCCAAGATCAAGATGTTGTGAGGGTTGGTTTCTGGTGAGGCCTCTCTTCCTGACTTGTAGATGTCTGCCTTCTTGCTGTCTCCTAACATGCATGGAAAGAGAGAGATCTCTGGGGTCTCTTTCTCTTTTTATAAGGACACCAGCCCTATTGGATTAAGGCCTCCCTCTTCTGACCCATTCAACCTTTATTACCTCCTCATAGGCCCCATCTCCAAATACAGTCACATTGGAGGTGAGGGCTTCAACGTATGAATTTTCAGGGGGCACGATTCAGTCCATAACAACCACAGTTTGTTTAACCAGTCACCCACTGAAGGATCTGGTTGTTTCTAGTTTTTGGCCATTAAGAATAAAGCCATAAACATTTGTGGACTAGTTTTTATGTGGACATAAATCTTCATTTCTCTGGAATAAGTGCCCAGGAGTGTGGTTGCTGAGTTGTGTGGTGGCGATTACATTTTTATAAGCAGCAGCTTCTCTTAGAAATTATTGGGGCTGGAGAATTGCCTATCATTGGTTTACTTGCCCCTTTCTTACCAAAATTCTGTAATTGCTAATTATGTGTACATTTCTGTCCAGTTACAAAGCAGCACAGTTTCCATCATGTGTTTGATTAACTTAATTGTAAGTCCTGTCCTCCCCCATTTAATCTGTAAATATTTCTGCATGCATCTCTAAAAAATAAGGACTCTTTCTGAAAATACCATCATCATACCTACAGAAAATTAACATTAATTCTGTAATTTCATCAAATATCCAGTCAGTGTTTACATTTCCCTGATTGTCTCAAAAATATTTTTTTTACAGTTTGTTGGAATCAGGATCTGAATTAGTGTATACATTGCAATTGGTTGATATGTATCTCAAATCTCTCTTTTAAAATATTTATTTGTTCCTTTTAGTTATTGTGATAAAATACACATAAAATTTACCATCTTAACCACGTTTAATTGTGCAGTTGAGTGGTATTAAGTACATTGACATTATTGCACAGCTGTTACTACCATCCATCTTCAGAACATTTTTCATCTTGCAAAACTGAAACTCTACATCCGTTAAACGATCCCTCCTCATCCCCACCTCTCCCCAGCCCCTGGCAACCACCATTCTACTTTCTGTCTCTGTGATTTTGACCGCTCATACAGGTACCTCATGTAAGTGAGATCATACAGTATTTGTCTTTTTGTGGCTTATTTCACTTAGTATAATGTCCTCAAGGTCTATCCATGTTGTAGCATATGTCAGGATTTCCTTCCTTTTTAAGGCTGAGTAATATTTCATTGTATGTATACACCACATTTTGCTTCTCCGTTCATCTGTTGATAGACGCTTGGGTTGCTTCCATGCCTTAGCTATTGTGAATAATGCTGCTGTGAACGTGGGTGTACAAATAGCTCTTTGAGATCTTGCTTTCAATTCTTTAGGGTATATACTCAGAAGTAGAATTGCTGGATCATATAGTAATTCTATTTTTAATTTTTTGAGGAACTGGCATACTATTACATGCCCACCAATAGTGCACAAGGTTCCAAATTCTCCACATCCTCACCAACACTTGTTTTCTGTTTTTTTTTTTTTTTTTTTTTAATAGTAGCCTTCCTAATGAGTATGAAGTGGTATCTCATTGTGGTTTTGGTTTGCATTTCCCTAATGATTAGTGATGTTGAGCATCTTTTCATGTGTTTGTTGGCCATTTGTGTATTTTCTTTGGAGAAATGTCTATTCAAGTCCTTTGCTCATTTTTAAAACAGATTGTTTTTGTTGTTGTTGAGTTTTAGGAGTTCTGTATATAGTCTTAATATTAATCCTTTATCAGATATCTCAAGTCTCTTTTAATCTATAAATTCCTTTTCATCTTTTTTTTTTCCCTTGCAATTTATTTGTTGAAAAGATGTTAAGTTTTGTTTTATTTCAACACTGTGTTTTGCTCACATTGTGCTCTGTCATCATCACTTATAATTCACAAAACAAGTTAGTCTGTTTACAGCCTAAATTACCATTGGTTATAGAATACTTCCAGAGGAGCAGAACCTTAATGTTGCCATTGGGTGATGGATCCTGGTTACACACATCTGACCATAGACCAAATATATAAAATTTCATCTACACCTATTTATGAGGTTCAGAACATGGGTACATGAATTAGCTTCAGTGGATATGGAAATAAGAGGCCCTTTCACTGAAATAGTGGCTATTAAGAAGCTATCTTGCAGTCATAAATGTGTATTTATTTGGCAATTAAGAATCTTTGAATCCATCTTGGTGTAGTAGAAAAGGCAGTATATTAGGTGTTAGGAGAGCTGAGTCCTGGTGCTTTCTCTGCTACTAGCTCCCTGTCTGACCTTGGACAAATCACATCCCCTCTTCAGGGCCTCAGTTTTTTCATCTAGTTAATGTGAGGAATGGACTTGATAATCTTCAAGGTTCTTTCCTGCTCAGTCTGGAGTCTGAGTTGTCCTTTCAGGTTAATCATGAACAAGGTGTCATTCTAGTCAACTCTGGAGGAGTGTCCTGGAACTTTTTGGAGGGAGTTTTACCTATGTTGGAATTTTCTTTGATGGTCTTAGTTTGCGCTGAAAGTTGGGCTTGTGGTTGGCTTGGTGGTCATCCTTATGACCAGTCATAGGGCCCCTTGAAGCAATAAGCTTCTCCATAATATGCATGTTAACTGAGAAGCAATAAGCTTCTCCATAATATGCATGTTAACTGAGAATGAATTGGGACTCTCTCATATAGTGAGGTTCAAAGAGCAATCTGGTCTTATCTTGATAAGCATTTTCCCTTTTCTCTCTTCTGCTCCATTGGGAAGCAAGTGGCATCGTGTTCCAGTGGGGAACTGGTTTGGCATCATCTGGACGGCGGTTGTGCCCTGTGAAGACTCTCCCACTGTTTTTGACAGCAAAGGAACCGAGCAGAGTGACAGGTAAGGCCCTTATTTCTTCTGAATTTTGTATTTGTTCTTTGTCAAGAACTAGAGACACAGGCATGCAGAAAATGGGTAAATGGAGTTTTGCTTTTGCTATTCCTTGGTCTCTCTGTCTTAACACTCTGTTGATTGGTCTGTTAGTCTTGTTGGGAGTTTTGTGGGCCCAGTAAAAGCACCTCTCTTTGCTGCCTTGTTTGGAACTCGTTGAGAGACAGATGCAAGTCAGGCAGCTGGGGATCAAAATGGTAGCTCTAGAACTGTTAAAAGTTAGGTTGGAAGACGTGACTTCGGTGTTTGGAAATAATGTGTTGCAATAATGAGCCTCTAAATTCTGAATCCCAGATTGAATTTATCCACCAGACACTGGAGCAGCTGCACAGAGTCGGCCCTGCTAAGCTTCCTGCATGGCTAAGGGCACGTGAGGAGCCACCTTCTCCGCAGGCAGGCACATCCCAAAGGGAGAACCCAGAAGGACTGTGCTCGCATGCCCAGTTCCTTCTCCCAAGGGGAAAGCAGGAGTAGGCGAGGTTGTGGAGAGAGGGGCCAGAAGTGTTCCCTTAGGGAGATCTCTCCATGGGGCACACGAGGAGTAGGTAGTAAGTGTTCTGCCCACGGGTCTGTTGGTCAGTCTTTGATGACCAGTCACTCTCTAGGGCTTTCTCTTTTTCTCTCTTTCACTCTGGGACTCAATCACTCCCTTTCTCTCTCCCTTCCTCTCCCTCTCCCTTTCTCTCTCTCAGCTCTTCTCTCTCCCTCTGCTCTACACTCTTTGGGGGCCTTTCTTTCTCTGGATGTAGCACCTTGTCTCCATCTCCTCCTCTTCTCCGTCTTCCTCACTCACTCTTACTTTATGACCCAGTTACTGAGGACTGGCTGTAAGAAAACCTTCACAGGAAACTTCTACTCTCCTCTAGCTCAGAGCAAAGGAGGGATTTGTGAGGGTGGTAGGGAGGAGGAAGGACAAAGGAAGGGTAAATTGCAGTGGAGTGATGCGCAAGCTTTTGGGATCATTCTGGTTTTCCTAAGTCCTGGAGGTTCTCCTTCAGCAGGGGTGAGCCTTCATGGTGACCCTGAAGCGCTTGGGTTGAGTCAGGGAGGGTACTCAGAGGAGAAGGGGCACGGATGCTGGACAGCAGTCCACTTCACGTGACACTGGAAATGTTCATAATGTGAACTCCTCCTTCCCAAACATTTTTCCTGCCTCACCAGGGTATTCACTGCTCCCTGGGCATATCCTGCTTTCTCATTTCTCTGTGCCTTCGGGCGAATTGTTACCTCTGCCTTTCCCTTCCTGTTCCCCTTGCGAAAATCCTGATAATTTTTCAAGGCTTAGCTCAGATACAGCTTTCTCAGTAAAGACTCTTCCCTCTTCTTGCCTCCATTGCATTTTCTTCACGTGCATGGACAGCACAGTTTATTGTGTTGTTTTGAATTGATTATATGTTTTCCCACACCCCAAAGATATGAGCTTTTTAAGGGCAGGAATTGTGTCTGCTTTCTATTTTAGCACAGGACCTGTAACTAGAAGGAATCAGAAATGTTTTGATTTGATTTGATTGTAACGACCTGTTTGGGGTCTGCTCGGGCCACAGCTTAGACTCAGAGCTGATTTGGGGGGTTTTCTGATGAGATAATAGAGTGGATCATCAACTTCCTCCCCTCAGAGCCTTTCCCTTTTCCTCCTCCTGTCTGCACCTCATTGCCGTAGGTTCTGGAGCTGAGACCCTGGGTGTCCTTTCCTCATGTGGCCACCAGGGGCCCAGGGCTTCCTCTGTGGTGAAGGTGGCCAAAACCTCTACTTTGTCCCTTCCTCATTCTACAGGATACTTGAAGGTGCAAGGGGCATTTTATTAAGACACTAGTTAGTTAAATAGAAGTGTCAGAAAAAAGAATGACAGAATAAGACTGCCTTTCTCTTCATGCTAGACCAGGTGACCACAACTTCTAGCAGAGTTGATTGGATTATACCTTGTCAGTAAAGGCGGTGTAATTAAGGGAGGGAAAGTGCTGGATTTGGAGATGGAAGGCCAGTTCAGTTCAGATTCTAGTTCTGCTGTGTGTTGTTGGGAGGCCTGGGTTTGTACTTCGGTGCCTCCATGTGATATCTGAATGTATGAGACATCATTGCTCCTAGGCCACTCAATGACAGAGCTAGGAAATACACATGTACACACACATGTTTATACATATGTGCACCTATATGTATGTATTTATCTCTGCTAGAAACCATGAATTGACACTGATTTCTCCAGTTACAATCCAGTATTGCATGGTCGATTCTAGCCTTCCACCTTTCCATATCTGTACTTTTCCTCTCCTCTCTGATAGTGAGAAATCTCATTCCTTTATCCTCAGTATATTTACTTTTTTGTTCAACCCCCTGGTAGGTAACCAGTCTCCCTACTGTGCCAGTGCCGCTGACTCAGACCTTCCTGCACTGGCTGAGTTTCCCCCCAGGCCTATGTCCCTTGTCTGCCTAGTTTGTTCTGTTATAAATGTAATTTCAAAAGAATTTTTTTTTGTAGGCCTAGAGGATTCTAAAGCGACGTGTGTTGTTGCTGGCTCCTGTCACTCAGCCTCATTGACAGGTAGGTACCAGCTCTTTCACGTTCACATGCTGCCCAGAACTGTGCATCTCTGCCTCAAGTGGTGCTATCGGGACACAGAGAAGAGCAGAGACTTTGGAGTTAGAATTCTGATGCCACCACTGCTCTGATCTTAGGCGAGTCATTTTACCTTCCTGAGACTGTTTCCTTGGCTATAAAATACCTTGTGGGTGGTTTTGAGAATTAAATATGCAAATATGCATACAGCACTCACATGAAACACAGGCTCACGTCCCTGCCTCTGAGTTTGTTTTCACAACTGTACCGTAGGGATGAGAGTATCTTCCTCTCGGTAATTGTAATGGTCCAACAGTAAATCTATACCTAATGTATTGTTATCTTATCCATCGAATCCATTTTGGTGTCTAATATAACTAAGCTCTCTAGCTATCTATTCTCTCTAGCTGTTTAATCTCAAACTAACCTATTTTATCCACCTGTATCTTTCTAATCCATTTATCTATCTCTCTGCTTGCTCCCTCTATATTTATCTACTCTATTTTATTTACTTAACTATATATCTCTTTATTTAACTATATATCTTTTTATCTTTCATCCTTGTATCTTTCTACCTAATCTATGTATCTATATATCTCTCTAAATCTAGTTATGTATATATTTCTCTAATCTAATTTATATTTTTATATATTTCTCTTGTTGATCTCTATTCCATCTCTTTGATCTATCCATCTCTCTATCTAAGCTGTTTTTCTTTCTCACCCTCTATCTCTCTTTTTGGCTATGCATCCATCCATACATTTGACACACCCAGCCAATGCAGTATAAACTTTCTAGTGACAATGCAGCATTTGCTTGAAAGTGAAGGTTCTTTCTTCCGAAGCCCAGCTTGCCCTGAGCCCTGCTGGTAGACGGGGGACAATGGCTCTAAGAGATTTATTTTGGTAAGACCCTTCACACGGAGTTGAATGCATTACATTTTTTAAGCAAAGGGAAATGACTTTCATAGTGTTTTCAGTGTTTTATGTGGCTAGTATTAAGGTGTGTACATAATATATGTAAATTAATTATGGCGTGCATTCCTCAACATCAAATTTGCCATGCGGTCCAACTGAGAAGCTGCATTGTCTCCAGAGTACGAGAGCCATAATGTGAGAATTTAAATATTTTACAAATTCTGAACTACAGATAATTTATTTAATGAATTTAAAACAACCAACTAACAAAAGAAATACCTGCTTTTAGCCTATGTTTCATATTAAGTAGATTTATGTATACGTGAAAATAGTTGAATTAAAATGAATGCCAGCTGTAAGGGACTCCATTGGGCCTCTGGTCTCTCCTCTCCTTTTAGAGGAAGAACTGGAGGCCCCATGGTGGGAAGTGACTTGTTCATGTCCTACAGTCAGTGAGGGATGAGGAAGGCATTCTTTTCTAAGACTAAGAGTAGACTAAGATGTTTCTATTCTGTTCTAATTAATTTGAAATGGCTGGCATTATGTAAACCTAGGGATTCTCTAATTGCTTGCCAACGTCAATCTCCTCAAAAATGTTGTAATTAGTAAAGTTATTTATTATTTCATATGTGGAGCAGTTATATTTTGGTGTTTTAAAAACAGATGTTGAATTTTTGTTTTATTGAGATGCAATTCATATATAACATTCACTCTTTTAAAGTGTACAATTTAGTGATTTTTAGTACATTCAGAAAGTGACTTGGTTTTTGGTATTTTGAAAGTGAGTTAAAAATTGTCGAGAGTACTATCCCTCTTTCCTGCTCTAGTTCAAGCTATTACTCAGTGAATTTTGTTCAGTGCCCTTTAGACCTTTTCTCTGGAGTTGTAGATTATGTAACTGTTTGGCGTTGCAGCAGAATTTAATTTTGCCTGCTGATGCAACAGTGTAATAATCTGCATGTGGAAGGCAGTTTGCCTTTGCAAAAGATGGTGTAGACTTACTAAGAGAAGTGAAGGCTCATTACAGACACAGGCTCATGGTCAGTGGCATCTGTAGCTGACCAGTCCATTTAATGGGTTGAGACTTTGCTGCGGGGGTCCTCTGCCTTCTTGTAAGGGGTCCTCTTACTTTGCACACCCTGGTGAAGTCCAGGGAGGTTGCCCTCTCTCTACCAAATTCCCCTCATAGAACTGCAGAGTGTCAGTGCTGCAGAGGTCACCTGGGTGACAAAAAGGCTCCACTGATTTACACTCCCTCATCTTAGACTCGATGAAACAGAGGCCCAGAATGTGAAGTGACGTGCCCAATGTCAAAGAGGGATCAAGTAGCAGATCTAGAACTTGAACCCTGAATCCTGGCCTAATGTCCTTTAGTGATACTGTCTGGCTTTTAATCAGTTTTTGAGAGTATACCAGACTGCTCTAGAGCAAGCAATGCTGTAAAGCTTTATTGGGAGGTCACACAATGCAGTAGAAGTGAAGACCTGGCTTCTAGTCCTGCTTGACTCCTTATTAGCCGTGTGATCTTGAAAATGACATCTCTGAGCATTGATTAATTTATCTTCAGAGAAGTGCTGTCTAATATAAATATAATGTGAGCTACATTTCAAAAAGTAAAGAGAAACAGGTGAATTAATTTTAATAATGTATTTTACCTAACCCAGTATATCTAAAATATTATTTCAGTGTGTAATCAATATGAAATTTATTAATGAGCTACATTCTTTTTGTTTTTTTTAATTGTCTTTGCAATCCTTTTTGCTTTTTTTTGTCTTACAACACGTCTCGGTTTGGACTACCTACATTTCAAGTGTTCAATAGCCACTGTGTATGCTGTGTGCTGTATAGTGTAGAACCTTAAATGTTAGGGTTGGAAGAGCTCTTACAGACCATCCAAGGAGTGACATTGTAGATTCATAGGCCAAATTGTAGCCCATGGCCCCATTTTATTTGGCTTCCAGTTAAAAAATTTTTTGGACGTGAATGACTGGAGACAAGCACATGCCTTCTGGTTTCCCACGGTCACTCACCAGTCTCTCTTGTTAACCAGTGTCATCAGTTAGATCGTCTGCCCTTCTAGATCAACCACCTTGCCCTGCAGTTTTCAGCTAGTGAAACTAAGGTGTAGAGAGGAAATGATTTGTCCAAGGTCAATAGCTGGTTAGCAGATCCAGGAATAGAGCCAGAGTCACTTGACTCTGAATTTGCTCTCTTTCTGTTAAATCGCAATGTCAGTCAGTCACATTCTTGCTTATATCACAGGATTATTGTGAGGGTCAAATGAGCTGAAGTGCTACACGGATGTGATGTGGCAGCATTATATTTTCTGCTGGACAGGGCATGTGGTAAAATAAAATAGTCTTATGTTTAAAAAGTTTAAGCTTAAATAGTGTATCTTTTAACCTGTTATTTTTAAAAGTTAATGTATTTTTTCCTAACAAAAGGTAATGCAAGCATATATTTTAAAAATGTAGAAAATAGAGAAACATATGTCTTGCACATGGTAGATGTTGAATAAATATTTGTTGAATGAATTAATAAAAAATAAACTCCCACATTTCTATTCCTTGACAAACTACTAAGAACATTTGGCCTTGTTTCCTATTTATAGACTTTAAAAAAATCGTATATGTGATTACGCTATACATGAATTTTGTACTTTGCTTTGCTTGACTTGATGTTGTAGCATACAAATAATACAACTTCTTTTAACCCCTTTTTGTTCAGACTTGTGTTATTTTCCATCATTTTGGCCTAATGTTCCTTCACCTCTTTTGTTGCCCTCTGTTTAAGCTGCAGGAGAGCTGTATGTTTGGGGAAGCAATAAGCACGGGCAGCTGGCTTCCCAGGCTGCTTTCCTTCCTGCGCCCCAGAAAATAGAAGCGCCTTGTTTTCAGAATGAAAAGGTCACCGCCGTCTGGAGTGGGTGGACACACCTAGTTGCTCAGACAGGTGAGAGAGCAGCAGAAAATTTGCGGTTGGCAAGAGCATCTGGGGGACAACTGTTTCAACAGCTGTGGGTGCTCGGGATTAAGTAGGTTGGTTTTTACTGATGAAAAGCTTGAAGGACTGGGAAAGGGAGAACCTGGGATCTAGTTCTGCAATAGGTATGTGGGTTAAGTTAACTCCTTTGGGCCCTAAGAGTCTGTGAGGTTTTGAGAAGGAACCCATTGCAGCAAGCATCACCCAGAAATTCGTCCAGGTTGTTGAGGCGTCTTTGCTTTGTCAGAGGTGAAGAGGTGACTCTGTTTGCATTTCTACCTGAGTCTAAATTAAAGGCATCAGAAACTGTTAAGTTTAAGATAAATATTTCAAGATTGAGGCAAGAGCATTACCTTGAATCGCAGCTGGCATGGTATTTTGATTTAAATCTTTATCAACCCTCACAAACTATGTATGTTGATTCAGACATCCATAGATTCCCTCAGATGTTACCTTACCCTGCCATGCCATCTAGCTTTCGGCATCTTTGTCTTTTCTTGAGTCTTCATGTATTTCTTATCTTTCCCTGAGGGCGGTTCTCCTTTCCTGGTCTTCGTATTCCCGGCTTTGTTCTGGGGGTGCTTTTTGCGTGGCCTTTCTTCTTCCCTGCCTTCCTAGAACTGCTGGCTTCCACAGCCTATTCCAGACAGGCAGCCTGCAGATCTTCAGATCTGTTGTCGTGTCAAGGTCTTCTGAACTTCAGGGGTTCTCAGGAGGCCCCTGGCCTGCTCTTGGCCTGCTTGTTGGCTACACGCAGATCTCTGGACTCCCAAATACCTGGTGACTGTTATTCCAGTGCCTTCTGGCTTTTGTGGGTCTTCAGGTTAGCTTCAGTTATTCTTGGTGAGTCACACGTACTACACATGTGGACACGCAGACATAGACTTATGAGTAGTCATATCTATAATGCTTTTACTTGGTCTTTTAAAAAATTTTTACCATCATTTTGGAACAGAGGCCTGTGTAACAAAAGTGTATAATAAACTTGGTGTATTTACCACTTCAGAGGATTCTCTAAGGAAAGTGTTCATTTGGAGGAAAATCGTGACTTTCCTCAAAGACGTTCAGACTGCTTAAAGATTGGGACTATCTACAGAAATTTTCTTTAAAGAGACTCACTGAGCATAGTAGCTGCTTATTTAATTGTTAATATCTGTCTTTTCCTACAGACAATGAGCTCTGTGAGGGAAGGTGCCAGATTAGTCTTGTTCACTTCTGTGTCTCCACTGCCTAGCAGAGAATGTATTCGTTTCCTGCATTAAATTGTTTCTAGTTAAAAGAGACTAAACATACTCAGATGCGTTTGAGTCAGGGTAGACAGCTAGGATTTCTGAGCTCTTTCCTTGGACTCACTGGTTCGTGAACAGAAGGCTTCAGTTTGTCTCTTTGGATTCAAGAGTCCAACCAAATCAGTTACTGTTTATTGGGAACCTATTGAGCAGTGTGCTAGCCTTGGAGAAACAGAGGAGAAAGGATATGGGCCGTGTCCTTCCACTAGGCTGTGTAGACAGGCTTAAGTCTAAGAATATAGAGATGGAAGACTTTACCATCCATCCGCCCATCATATAGATGGTGAAGATCTGTTTATGTACCATGCCTTGTACTAGATATAAATCCTGCCCTCAAGGAGCCCACTGTCCACTGGGGGAGACAGACCTGTGACCAAATTTCAGTACATTGCAGTCTGAGAAGTGCAACAACAGAGCTAAGTACAGCGTGCAGAGGTAGCATAGAAACTAGCAGGAGTGTGAGTAATTGGGTGTTGACAGGTAGTCAGTCTTCAAAGAATTGCAGTGCAGTAAAATACACTTACTACCAAGTGGTAGCAAATTTGCTTGAGTCTGTCAGTAAACCCTTTACCTAGTTAAATAGCTGACTAATGAAAGACATAAAGATGCTGCTTCTTTGATTCTAGCGTTGAAGCACTGTAACTGATGCTGATTTCCCTGTCTGGGCCAACAGCCCAGCTCTCAGGGTGGGAGGTTGGAACCCACGTCCCTGATACTGTCTGAGTCACTCCAGCTGCTCTGGAGTTCAGCTTCAGGTCTCCACCTCCACTTGAGAGAGTGGTTTTTTGGTAATGTTTCAGCTATTTAATTAACTTGTTAATTCAGATCTCTTGTTTATGTACTTTGTCACTTTCCCCTTTCTCCTAAGTCCAGAATGGTTCAAAGCTGGGATGTTTGAGTGTCCTGGTTCTTGTACTGAATTTTGGGTAAATGGGCATGTCTTGCTCTTCGATTCACTAATTTTGTGCTCCCTCTAGCAGCTGTGGAAGCCTTTGCCCTGGCCCAGTGTCATTGAGAAGAAACACCCAGGTCTTCTAGTTTAATCAGACGTAGCTGCTCGTTTTAATGAGAGCAAGATTTGCTTCCAGGGTCGGAAGCAGCTCATTAGTGGAACAAGGAGTTATTTGACTCAAGTTGTTTTCACAAGCTCCACTGGGGAATTGTTCCTGGACCTACCTACAGGCCACATCAGCACAGAGGCTGCTCTTAGTCTCATTCTGGAAGGCATTAGTTGTGTGATATTGATTTAAAAAAGAGTTTGTGCACAGTGACCATATATCTGTCCAGTAAGATTGGATGGGATGGGATGGGATGGGATGGGATGGGATGGGCTGGGCTGGGCTGAGAGAAAGGGAGCCGACCTTGCTTTTCCCTTTCTCCATAGTCCCTAGACCAGTGATTCTCAACTACAGTCGATTTTGTCCCCCAGGGGACATTTGCAATGTCTGGGGACATATTTGGTTGTCATAACTGGGGTGTGCTACTGGCATCTAGTTGGTGGAGGCCAGAGAGGCTGCTAAACATCCTACAGTGCAAGAGCAACCCCCACAACAAAGAAATACCCAGCCCCCAGTGTTAGTCGTGCCAAGATTGAGAAATGCTGCCCAGGACTGACATCCCCAGTGGTAGCTGCTTAGCTAGGACAGTTCACATCGTATCAGGACAACTTGACAGCTTGTCTGTATGGGAATCTGGGATGCAGTGTCTTGCCTCCCTCTTCAGGAGTCTGGTGCCTGCCTGCAGTGTTTGCAGTGGAAAAATACTTTTCTCTGTTAGTCAGAGGCGCTTGGAAAGAGTCCAAGAGAACCTGTTCTAATCTGGGAAAGTTGGCAAGGGTACCTGTGTCTCAGGCTGGTGGAGCTGCATTCTAGAAACCTTTCCCAAGCTGCTTAATGTCCCTGATCATTGTTCTCAGGAACTTCATGGGACTCCAGGGTGACTTTATCCAGGCTCAGTGACCTGCAGCTGTCTCATCTGAGATTCATGATTTCCTGGCCTGAGGTGCTTCTAGTGAGAGCTGGGTGGCGGATCTGGGTGCCTTCCTAGTTTAATGACCTTGGTCACTTAAGTCACTTCGCCTGTCCAGGCCTCAGTTTCCTCATCTCTCAAGTAGCATATTAAACCCACCTGCATTCTACGTAGGGCTGCTGTGAGCTCCAGATGAATAAATCTGGGTGAAAGATCTCAACGAATGTTAAAATTGTAAAAACTCATACGTAGACGAGGGGTGCCTGAGGTTGGGATATGTGAGCATGTTAAGGAGTTAGCTGTTCCTTTTAGAGAGACTTCTATTTCAGCAGGGCCTGTGCAGAGCTTCATGAGACATACCAGCTTCTCCCCTGAGGGCTCATGAGCTGGCCAGGGACGTGATGCTCGATATCCAGCTCTGACAGGCAGTTTTCTAAAGTCTTTCACTTACATGCAGCCGGCAAGTGGCTCTTTTCTATTATCAACAGTTTGGAAGATCTTTGTTGCCTTATAGATCATTTTCCTTGTTAAAATCTCTGATCGCATTGTCGTTCCTTCATGGTGTTCATCCCGATGTGTAATTGTATGCCTCTCTTTGTATTCTTGTTTGTTTAATGACTAGACTGTAGATTCCATGAGAGCAGTGTCTGGTTTTTTTTTTGTTTTTTTTTGTGAGGAAGATCAGCCCTGAGCTAACATCCATGCCAATTCTCCTCTTTTTGCTGAGGAAGACCTGCTCTGAGCTAACATCATTGCCAATCCTCCTCCTTTTTTTCCCTTTTTATCCCCAAAGCCCCAGTAGATAGTTGTATGTCATAGTTGCACATCTTTCTAGTTGCCGTATGTGGGACGTGGCGTCAGCATGGCTGGAGAAGCGGTGCATCAGTGCACGCCCAGGATCCGAACCCGGGCAGCCAGTAGCAGAGTGCACGCACTTAACCACTAATGCACGGAGCCGGGCCCGAGCAGTGTCTGTTTTGTTTGTGGCTGTATCCTCGGCACCTGGCGCAGCCCTGGCACATAGTAGGTGATTAGTCACTAATTGCTAATGACAAGTAGAGAGAAACATGGACTTTGAAGTCACACAGGGCTGGGTTTGGAGCTCAGCTCTGTCACCTTCCTGATTGTGTGGCTGTGGGCAGCTCTACCTCTCCATCTCCGTTGCCACTACAGTGGTTCAGGCCACTGTCCCCTCTTGCCTGAATCCTGCAGGTGTCCTCATCTTCCCACATTCACTCCATCTCATGTCCAATCTGTTCTCCATACCTCAGTTGGAAGATCTTTTCAAACCCATCGTGTCACATTCCAGTGGCTTCCCATTGCTCTTAGGATACAAACATAATCCTTTGTGGTCCTATGAGGCCTGTGTGCTCTGCCTGCCTTTCCAGCCCCATTTCTTACTATGCTAGCTCTGGGTCTCTAGCTGATCTCCCCTCTGGCCTCTCCTTGGGTCCTGGAATACAGCACGTATTTCCCACCATAGGGCCTTTGCACCTGATGTTCCTTCTATTTGGCACACTTATCCCTGCGCTCCTTTTTCATTTTGATTTATTTACATCCTTTTTTTTTTTCAGATCTCAACTTAGTCATTGCCTTCTCCGGAGGCCTTCCCTTGACATCCCTGACTAATCCCTTTGCCGTTCTGTCTGTCCTCGCAGCACTACAGCCTCTCCTCTGTGCTGTTTTTTGTAGAGTTCTTTGATGAATTCTCCC